ATATATATATATATGTATATATTATATTTAATACACATAAGTACTTTTTGTCAAAAAATAGAAGGTGCTCAATCACAATGCATGTTTAGTTTACAAACATAGATTTTACTATAATATGACTTTAATTTTTTATATTTTTAAGAAGAAAGGAACTTCAAAAAATTGGTAAAGAATTCACTTCAACTTGAAAAATATATATTAGAGAATTTAAACATGAACAACTCAAATTGGATGTGGAATTTTGTAAATAAATAAATAAATAACTCCAATATATCCTCTTCTTTAGATGCTACAAATAATCCTCTAGACATAAAAAATAAATGAATAAATAAAATCACAGAAGAAAAAAAACAGATACTTCATTGTTTTTGCAGAGCTTTTGTTTGAACAAGGCCATGAAGTTAAATTAAAAGATCATGTTTTTCTTACACTTGAAAGAAGAATTTTACTTGTAGGCCACTCATACCAGGAAGTTTCCATTTAACATGCTCCACCAAGGGTAGTTCCATGGTAGAGTGTGTTATTTTCTTTTCTCTGTTTTTTCTTCATTTTTTTTTTTTTTTTTTTTTTTTTGACACAGCAGGGATAACCGTGTACAAGGGTTGGCAAAAGTCCAGCAAGCATGGTTGTGAAGTTTATAATCAAATTGCCAACCTGTTCATTATTGTTTAGTAATCAGTTTTAGGTGGTACCAGTAATTCCGGACCAAGGAAGCTCAGAGGTGCACGCCGTCTGTGTTGCTGGGATTAGCAATTTCACGTGCTCTTGAATTGTCGGTTATTGCAGTAGCTTAGTCGAAGTCTCAGCGTTGGTTGCATGATTGGTTACAATCCAAGTCTGTAGCACTGACTTTTGCTCTTGGATCAGAGTTTCCTTGAAAGCTACGCTACAAGCACAACACCTGAACATAATACAGACTACATCTTGAATCACAGCGACAGTTTGGAGGTTTTGTAGTCTTGTGTAGGGGGTGAAGCTGAGGATTGATTGTTGAAGGTTAAAAGCAGGTTTATCTTTATCTAAACTCATTTCATGTAGTCGAAATAAAATAGAGTTGTTGAATCATGGTAGAAGAGGACGAACTCTTGAGTCCGTAGTCGGTACCAATTGTGATTCCATGATAATAAACTGTTGTAGGGTGGTACTGAAGCCCTGCGAGCTATAGTGGGAGTTATATAGAGATAGTTTTTGCTCGTGATTACGTTTTGCTGTTGTTTCAAAGGTTTCGCAAGAAAGAGAAAAACTGCAAGTTGCATTCTTAGAGATGATATCAACTAGAGACAACAATCTCAATGCCCATGAACCTGCTGGAATCGTGTTTCCTTCGACCGTGCCACAATCGTCGACATCCACCAGCAGGCACTTAACCACCGTATCACTTTTCAGTCACCTGTAAACACACAACGCAGTGGCTAGAATGCAAATCCTAGAGTACAAACCCACAGCATAGAATCAAACATCGGTCTAGAAATTTAGGAAGCAAACAAGGTCGGATGCACTGGGAGAAGCTTCTATCAGGGCGAAAAACCCTATGGTGGCGGGTACTGTAACGCATCGTTGCGTGACAGTGATTCTAGAGCTGAATCTGTCTCCCCATCAAGTCTCTTCGAATCCCACACAATAGACCATCAATAATGAAGTTTTTATTTTATTTTATTTTATTTTTTTTATGTTGGCAATGTTAATCCAAGCATCATGGAAGCGAGTATCTCAGTTCCTTGGATTTCGAGCTTGTAGGTGAGTTCGGTGGCTGATTCCAAGTTCAAGGTACTCAAATGGTTGATCATCCTTGTTTTCCTTGTTAAAAGCTATTCTGAGCACCGCAAACGCGACTCTTTGCAACACTATGTTTTTGTGGCAATTCACAACTTATTCCAAAACTAAAAAAGACACTACTCAAAAACATCTAGACCATAAAAACTAGGATTCTAAAAGTGGAAATAAACTATCTTCAGCATTTCATCCTCAAATTGATGGACAAACAGAGTGTATTAATCAAGTTTTGGAGCAGTATTTAAGATGTACCATCAATTACCAATGAGATGATTGAACAATTCTTTTATCATTGGTAGAGTTTGTTTATATTAACATGGTACATTCTTCTACAAAACAAACACCTTTCTTTGCCAATTATGGTTGTCATCCATCACTTAATACTTTTGACTTTTCAGAAATTGATAATCTCTCAGCAAAAGATTTGGCAAATCGTTTATCAGAGCTACATATTACAATGGAGGTGAGCTTAAAAGAAGCTCAAGAACAACAAAAGATCAATGCAGATGTCTATCAAAAGGAACAACCACCATTCCACTTAGGTGATAAGGTATGGTTACTTCATTGCAATATCAAGACTACTCATTCTTATGACAAGTTGGACTATCGTAGGCTTAGACTATTTCATATTTGTGTACAAATCAATCTAGTTGTATATTGTTTACACCTTCCAAAGTCAATGAAAATCCATCGAGTATTCCATGTGTCTCTTCTTGAACCATACAAGTCAATGGACATACCAAGGAGAAGATAAGTGCTACCTCTTCCTATAGAAGTAGACAATAGTAAAGAATTTGAAGTGAAAAAAGTCTTAGATTTAAAGCAGTGCCAAAATAAGTTAAAATATCTTATTCATTAATGCAGATACAATATTAGTGAACGCACATAGGAGCCAACAAAGAACCTTGCAAATGCAACAAAGAAGGTGGAGGCTTTTCATTGACAACATCCATCAAAATCAAGATGAAAACCTTTCTTATAAAAGAAACAAGATCTAGGCAAGATAACATTCTACTTTCAATCCTTGTTTGTAGCTTCTTTGTAGTTGTGATGCTAAGGAGATGGAGAACCAACAACCAGCGGATTCGACTCAAGAGCCTTTCTTTGTTAACCTACCGGACGAGACATTATGATTGTCACAACCTTCAAGATGACGTAATCGAGATGAAGATCTTCAAGAATGATATATTCTTTCTCGAATAGATAGCAAGATACAACGTGTTTGGTATTACAACCTTAGAAGGGACTTCCGATGTTTGGTGATTTTACTAGAGGTAGGAACAACTTCTGACGATGTTCCAAATGTTTTATTTAAATGAAGTTATGAAGGCTTCAACAATGATTAAATAACAAGGTGGACTTCTCGCCCTGGTATCAGATACTATAAATGATTGAGAGGCCCTATCAACCATCTTCAAAGAGAACAAAGATCTGAGTATGTAGTGAATATAATTCGTCGCATCATAGTTTTTTTCAACATATGATGACTGCTCCTCGTAGAACTCATTCCTTGAAAGAAGGATAATGTCACCACGTAGACATGTAAGTCAGTATTTACCTATATAAATGAATAGAAGTAGATAGAAGTAGATAAAAGTAAATTAATTCTATAATATCTTTTAAGGAAGCTTCATAGATGTTGCTTTGACTTTATAGGTGTCTATTATTGACTTTTAGGTTAAAAACTTAGTCAACAAGTTAACCATGTACCACACATGTTGGTAGCTTAAAAAAAAACTAACTCTATGGCACACATATAGAAAAACTTACCTTGTAAGTTAAAGCATGGATCTTACAAAGTCAACATATATTGGAGGTCCTATAGAACATCGCCATATAGCCCCTAGTTAGATAATATATATAGAGACAAGAGTAAATCTCTCTTCATTCTTGTCAACTCCTTTCTTGCTTCTACTCTAGTTTCGATAGTCTTAAATTTTCTTGTCTTTTGGCAGTAAGCCATTCTAGTTTCTTTTTAATATATGTACTTCCTTATTTCTATTTTGTCTCTTTTTTTTTACTCAGATTTCATTGGTTTATGTATCATCTTCCAGTTTATGTTCTTGACAAGCTATCTATAATATGTTGTTAATAATAAGAACTCAAAGAATACAAACAAATAAGTGAAACATTTCTCAAAAAATGATAACAAAAAGAAAATAAGTAAACATGTATATTAAAAAAATAAACTAAAATGGTTATTGCCAAAAGACAAAAAAGGTAGAGACTCTTGAAATTAAACTAGAAGCAAAAAAGTAGTTAATAAGAGCGAGAAAGATCTTCCTCTTGTTTCTATATATACTATCTAACTAGGAGCTCTATGGCAACATTCTATAGGACCTCCAATACACTAAGCACAATGAAATGACTCATTTACATTAGCTTGTATTTTCTAAAAATTTATTGTTATACTTCTATATTAGATCAATACAATGAGAATAGTCTCTTTCTTTGTTTTAGATCTAAACCAAACATCTTCTAATGTGGCTTAGTTGTATAGGTTAAGAAGTCAAGATTCTTGACCAATAATATATATTATCATCAAATTATAATTTTTCGACTATCTAATGCAATAATTTAATTTTTTTTATTATTTTTTATATTTCTTTGGATTTTAATACTATTCAAATAATTTTAATAAAATCTTCTACTCAATTATATCTATTCATTGCATAATCTAAATTTTTAATTTTTATTAATTTGGATAACAAAATTTTATAGCATAGCATTTTAAATTATCTACTAACCTAATATATCTTAACTTTTGTAGGTTTTTTTAGTATAAAGCATGTGTTTTTTCTTACTTTTAGATATTAATATTGAAATTAGAAGACTATAGTAGGAATGTAATCATTTGTTGTATTACAGAGACCTATCCAGTTTTTAGTTTTAGAGCATTAAACTCTATTTTCTATCATATTTTCATAATATTTCAAATATAAAAATTGAGTGTAATTCCAAAAACATCTAACTAAAAAAGTACACTCCATATCCTTTGATTATGATTCATATCATAAAAAATCTTCTCAATCCAATGAAAACCAATTTTATATAATGTTGCTGGACTTTGCCAAGACATGTGTATGTTGGTAAGGAAGAATTGGAAGGAACACTCTTTATATCTAACCACATAAGCTTATTCCATTTTTTATTTAATGGATTTCAAGAATTCAACGTACAAAAAAGCAATCATCTTCAGCCACGTTTTTCCAATCTCATTCCAATTCTTGATTTCTGAATTTCAATGTTTTATTGAAATTGAAGACCCATTCAAAATCCAGCCACCGTTTTCAAAACTGCCTTGGGTTTTGTCAACATCAATCTGTGCCTTACAATTGGTTGTGTATTGAATCCTTGGGCATGCATGGTCGCGATCACCCATTTGCTTCTTCTATGTCGGTAGTTCCAAGAACTTCCTCCCTCTTCCAAATGTTTGAGTTTGCCACTAAGCAGATTTTCTGTGCTCCACGCTTCCACGACACTGAGACAGATATATGGATCAATTGGAAGAACATGAGATTGATCTTTGAATAGCTGAATTAGTAAGCGGTTGCTACTAATGCTAAGATCACAATCCGTAGCAATTCTAAGTTGAAGATCTGAAGACACTTTCCAGAAGTGGCCTTGATGCTACTCTAGGTGGTACTCATCACACCGTTAGTTGGCATTTAAGTAGTAATTCCCCCACTATGTCACAAGATTGTCACACTTAAGAATTTCGTTTGATAGCTTGCTGTTCTGGCATAGGATCGTGCACGAAAATTCCATCTGAACAACTATAGAGGATGAACACAGCAGGAATAATCTGCTTGACTTGCATGAAGTGGGTTCCAGAAAGTCCTGTAACAGTCCAAGGGATGAAAACATCGCATAACTGCGCTTTGGGTATGTTCTGGATCCGGTGAAAGAGTACGCTTGATCCCCCAAAACTGGATCTTGGTTGTGCACATTGTCCAGCTTGCTCATGCTGTTGCAGATATTGTGGATTCGGATATCCGAGGATCAGCTGGGTCCATATGATGGTGCAGTAAATCGGTGAGTATCCGCAAATTCCCGAAGTAAGCGTTTCAGCATGCGGCCACCAGCTCCCTGAAGATAACCTCCACCACTTGCCCGACCTCCACTATTCATTGACGCCTTAGACCTGTACACATCACCAGCTGCAGCCTCCATAGCTTTAAGCCATATGGGAATCAATGTCTCAACTTCCCCGGGCTTTAAGTACTCAGGTGGTAGACCTTGGACCTGGATTGCAGAACAAGGTGATTAGTGCATATTAGAGCACAGCAAAACACACTTTCGTGAAAGGTAATTGGAATCAATGGCCATCTGAAATTACTAGAAATACAAAGGCGCTACAAGCTGAAAATTTCTACTTTCTCGGATTCACTCATTAACAACACCGTTACAAAGATGACAAACTAACCTGTTCAGACAGGATATGGGTAGAGTGGAATATAGCTCGAGTAAAGCATAACCCAAGAATAACAATGTAGCAGCAATTGATGGTGTTCTTGTCCACTGGCGTGCACAGAGCAGTTTGGGTCAGTGATGGTAAATAAAAAATAAGTAGGAGTAACACTAACCGCAGAAACGAGCCAGCCTTGTAAAGTTGAAAAATTTAGAGGAAAATGGCTGTCCACGTTCGCGCTGAAATAGCATAAAGCAGATAGTTGCTGAAGTATTATAGTTGCCTTGTTAACCTGCATACAAACAATCATGTTAAACAAACATAGCTTTACTGATCTCGTCGGAAACTAACAATCTGTCTCTACGATGAATTCATAATAAAACACAAGGCACACTGTGACTTACCCTGGTGATGGCGGAAACCCCTAGCAAGGCATACATCATGCCTGACACAACATTTTCCCCACATTGTAGACAAACTCTTGCAGCAGCACCCAAAAAAGATCCATCCAAAGAAACACTTCTGGGAGCTGTAAATGCTGACAACACAACTTCTAAGAAGTCTGTTCCAAGACAAAAGAATTGATTAGGTTCTGATTTTCTTAACACATGAGACGAAGGCACAAGCTCTTATCAAATACATAATTCCTTTAAATGGGTTTAGTAATCGAATATTTCAGCTCCAAACAAACGAACAAACAGCCTCCAATTCACAGGAACGCACTGGACATGTAGGACATAGCAGCCAAGGCTGCCCCTCGATGCATAGCTGTACAGCAGATAGATGCACGGTTGAACGAAATTTCCAGGAGAGTATCCGCAGCTGCTACAACTTCCTGTATCCACACAATCATGGTTCAACAAATAAATCTAACCAGACGTCCAATCAGCTCTTTACGACTAATAACTGTATTCATGATTCAGAACACGAAGAGTTCCGTCTACGAATCAGCCAATACAATCCTGTATTGATTAAAAGGTAAAATATCCCGGCTGCGAAGGTTCGACACAATGCAAACGTAGATATGACTATTTTTGGACTAGACGAAAGTGATCTATGTAAGTTCATTACATGGGGGCAGCTGTGCACAAAAGTGGACATCAAACCAAAGTAAACTTCAGCAAGCTCCGGTTCCTGATCGCATGAATACGACGTAGTCATTGCAGCCATGGCTTCTGAGGATGTCAAGACCATCAGCGTTTCCACAATAAGAGCCCCGTGTTCTTTCTCCTGACCGAACTCCTCCACGGCTATTCCAGCTGTAGTTTTGCCACATGCGTTCCAAGAGGATGTAACTATAATAGTCACCAGAACTAAGTAAAAGGTGAAAAAGCACCAATACCACATATGAGCTGTAATAGTCCGTAGTTCGTAGCATGTTAATCTCAAATTGAACATGAGACCGAATGATAGAACTCCTACTAGAGATCTAATGAGTTGAATGAGAAAAAACAAATCACAAACATAGCTGCACCTGTTTTTAAGAAGCACACATGCGGTTGGAATGATAAAAAACCATTGGACATGGCTGCCATGATACTAGGAAGCAAAGAGTAAAACAGCCGTCCTACATTTCCAGCCGAAAACTGATTAAAAGGGTCAGCGTGAAATCAGGATGAATGGCCTCATATTTTTCATTATTGGAGAGCAAATAAACAGCCGAAATGAAAATCAAACACAATATTTAACTACCCACACACAAACCGAAGTAACCTGATGCTTGAATAGCCTGTGACAGAGACTTGCAAGTTGCAGAAGCCAAACTAGAGTCCTCCATGTGGCGTGAAGTAAGTAGTCGCTCAAATAAAGGCCAGAAATGCGCTATAATTCTCAAAACCGGCTCATCGCCATTGTCTTTTGTTGAAAAAGCCCCTGTCAACTGACCAAAGAGAACCCCTATCCTGTAGAAAAAGGCAGACATGAGTCCCTAGTGGATAAGTAGGACATCATAATTAAATTCAAGTTTAGAAAGCATCAAGTTCAGACTGGGAGCCATTCTGAAAAAAACAGTAGAAACAGATTGTTCCAGGTCATTTCTTTACCTATGAACTGCCCGGATGCCAGCTTGTAAAACAGTCCAGTAGGCTTTTGAATGATGTCTAAGTGAATTATCACTGTCTGTACTCAGCTACACAAATTCATTCCAATAGCCCCATATCAAAGCGGTCAAAGCGTTATATTCAACAAACTGTTCAATAAGAAAAAAGAACAAAATAAAAATTCATGTACTCCAAATTATACAGTAACTTCAAAAAAATACAAAATATATCTTCTATTCCGTTGTTACGGAAGCAAAAGACGATGATGAATAAACATGCAAAGTATTACAACCTTTGGAATCAGAGCATACCAGTGTCTCAATTGCAACATGGCTGGGTTTCAACAAGTGCTCTAGAGCAGCATTCAAATCAGCGACACTTGTAAGCGAGGAAAGCACACGACCGATTGCACACATCACATCTTCCTCTTCTTCAAGAGTCAATGGAAGAGCATGCAGCTCCTGAAATGACGACGGACAAATGTTGAAATCAACCACAGAGTTTAAAACAATTGCGAAACAAAACAGGAGACTATCTTGTTCCCAAAACGTGGATCACGTCAAAATGCCGTTTCCACCGGCAACCACATTGCTTTGGCAGCTCAAAAAAGAACAGTAGTGGAAACAAATAATACTTATATACACATATCAAACAAACACACACGTGCGACTTGAAATTGAATTGTAAGTTTTTGAAACAATCTATGCAAATCATTTACTTTTCCTTGAACCATATCTTAGAATTTTGTTAAATTCAAAACAAACCCACAAAGTATAAAATAAAATACCTCGCCAATCCGCAAAAGACCTGCAATGGAGGTCGATTCATGTGAAAGGTTTGGGGAATCTTCACATACTTTCCGCAAGGCAGCAGCACAAGAACTAACTGCTACTGGAACTGTTAAACCGCTAGCCAAGAATGCACTGCAAATGGTGCACATAAACATGTCAGAAAAGGGAATGCATGTGACTGAATGTTTATACAACACAAAGACCAGTGTGTTGGAATACAAGTCCCGACTGTCTACGAGAACCATAATTCTCTAAACCAGATTCTTGCTGCAGCTCGAGAACTTGATTTGCTGCTAAGTGGATCAATTGTCAATTTCGAGGGCTACAATCATAGCCAGTGGATAATGCAATTGAAAGCAAATGCATAAGTTCAATTAATGTAATGATTTGTGCTGAGCTACTTACAGTAACGGGGTGACAAAAGAAGGAAAATTATGTAACCACCCAGAATACGATGCAACAACTTCAGCAGCTGACTTCTGGATCTGAACGACGTTGCACCAGAAGGTCATCAAATTCAGTAACGGTGATTCTCTCAAATAAACAGCCACTCGTACAGACTTAATACGTGGAAATAAAGCTCCAAAAAAACTAACAAATTTAAAATCGTTGAATAAGCATACCCGAGACATATGATTCCAGAAAAGCATATGACTTGCTCAGATGCACAAATAATCGCTTAATCAAAAGATAAGGTGGCCACAAACAACTATGGAAGTCAGGCTTTATCTACCACTCAAAACCTTGAGCAAAAATCAAACTGAGGAAACAATCTCAATATGGTTTTAAATGACGTACCAAGTGAAACAAGGTTCGATCAATCTGGGAAGACCTTGACGGAAGAACAACAATTAGGTGCAATACAGGAGTAATGTCTAAAATCTGCCTTTCTGACAGGACCACCTCCGAAGCCTGCGAATCAATGACAGATCATGTGTCATGAAGCAACCACGTCAATAAACCTATTAAAATAAGAAAACAATCACATACTAGACATTACAAGTTTCTAAAGATAACTTTCAGTGAATTGTTATAAACCAAGAGTTTGTCGAAGGTACACCGTATGCAATGCAAAGAGACGAGCCTCCACTGATCGCCACGGTACTGGCGTCTCAAATTGAGACCATGCCTCAGCTCCACTAAGTAACTGCCACCAAAGGATCACCTTTCACTGTCAAAAGATCTCTTCAAAACTCCTTGTGGACGAGGTCCAACAATCTGTAGAAGTGTAATCATATTGAAGCCCACTTTAGGCACCGAAGAGGAACAGGCTAACATCGGCTAAAGCGTAGAGGGGCAGCTGATCACTTCACAGACTTCAACTTAATTTTAATATATTGCTACAACATACCAGTTAGTAGAGAACAGAGAAAATTTGATTCACACACCGATGCAAGGAATTGCTTTGGCCCCAACAAGCGGCAAACATCGACAAGAGGTTCGTCCAAATTTTTCCGAAATAGAGCAAGTCCACCTGGAAGTCCACTAACACCATCAAGATCATCTTCAGCAAAACTACCCTCTTCAATCTGATCTGGCACCTAAAGAAGAAAACGATACGTCTTAGATGCAGTGTATGAGACTATTGACATAGCCAGAAGCTTTGTCGCGCGAGTTCAATGTTCATGGCCAGAGAATGCGCAGCAACAGAAACAAGCTTAAATATTCACAAGAATGCACAGAAACAGAAAATTTGTTCACATCTCTTCTCACCTGAGCCCTTACGATTAAGGCCTCCAGAAGGGCACTGTACACAGGTATAAACGTTGGAAGTGCTGCAGAAGTATCTTCACAAGAAACTAAATATTCAGCAAGTGTGCACCTTCACGAGCAAACATGTCCCATGCCAATGTCAGAATTTGCATGAAAAATATCGTACAGTATCTTATCATCCGTTAATTTTTGTCAATAGTAAATGGCTAAAGATTAAAGACATATTGATAAACTGTCCCGTTATCAAATCTTAAAAGCAACCAAAAACATTGCTCAGCAGAAAGAATGTTGTAGGAACAAGAAAAAAGCAACTGACCAGAACTGAAGAGTAGATTCCGCAATTTCCCAGTCACAACTTGGAAAAGAGACACATCTAGATGTACAAAGATGCCAACCCAACAAATTAAAAAACGCAAGTACACGGCAGGTCTGGACAATAACCATTATATTCATGACAATAGCAGTAGCCACACAATTCTATTGTCTGTTGGAATTAATAAAGGTGCTAGAATTAAAAGAGACTGGGTATCATCAAAACTAGGCATTAATGCAATAAACCTGGTCTTATGCAACCTCGTTATAGAGAGAGATAATAAATAAGTTAGCCAACACACCGTAAAAGTGATTCCGCCAGATCCAAAGCTTCTCTGCTGCCTTGCGCAACCAACGCTGGAGCCTGGAGATTAAAAATCGTCGTTGCTTACCGAGACTACAGAGCAGTAAATCTCATTATGATACAGTAATTCCTACATTGTTTTCTGAAGAAATAAAAAGGTAACTTCGTGACAGTTAAACACGTAATTTTTTACAAACAAGAGCTATTCTGACAGTTGGATACGTATCCAACTTACAATGCTAGTGAAAAAATCGTCACTCAAGAAAGTAATGATAAATTGATAGACAGCAAGAAAAGGCAGTGTACGGTTTTGTACCGCCTGGCCCAGCTCTGCAATAAGAGTAGCGACACCCCTAATGACATTTTCTTCGCCAGCAGCAAGAGCTGGCATTAAAAGTCCATCCTTCACATCAAGCATCCGTGGAAGTAAAACCTGAGGCAAACCCTGCACTTGAAGGAGAGGAAGGGAAACATACTTAGCAGCAGCCAACCTAGTCAACAGAGTACAAGTGAGGAGGTGACCTAAGTCAATTGAACCTCATCCATAATGAAAATCTTAATGGGAAATATCCCCAAAAAATGTTATACCAATTACAAGTTCGTTTAACACTGAGATTCTCTTTTGACACAGAAACTTACCTCGTGACGACTGACAAGTTCTGTTAGCACCTCCACAGCCAATTCAAATGAGCCTGGATCCTGGAACAATAGTCGATATGTAAAAACTTTACAAGCAATATCCTGCGCCGAATTGTGCGAAATGCACTTCCCTAAAAGTTGCTTATCTATTCTTACACAAACAATTAACTTCTGACATGTTATCGGCAATCATGCTTCCTCAGGAAGGCAAAACTAGAAGAAAAAAAATTGACCTCTAAGAAAGAACCGAGAATAATATATGAGGCAATCACTACCTGCAAGGAACTGTAAACAAACCCCAAAAGTGGATGACTAGGTATGGCACTTTGAGGGATTTCTAAGAAGCATCCGAGTCGCACCTGCATTAGAATCAAAATCAAAATAAGCACAAGATCAATCACAGATTTATCACCTAAATACACTTGCTGGATAAGCCAAAGGAAACAGAGGGGTAAGGAACAGAAACTCCTACCCAACTAAGGAGGCAACGGAGGACCTTGGACCGCCTATTGTGCTTATCTAAGCCGTCACTAATGCTTTGCTGAAGAAGAAACTCAAGCACCGCGCCTGTGTGAGATAGAATCTGGCAATTTAAATAAAGGAGAAGTAAAGCATTTGTAAGGCAGCAACCATGAAGTTTGCTTACACTCTCTGTGTGTGTGTGTGTGAGAGAGAGAGAGAGTGTGTGTATATGTATGTGTGTGTGAAAGAGAGAGAGAGAGAAGGAGAAGAAGAAAATAGGAAAAATAAGCACTCGTAGTTATGCCATGAAAACGATTACCATTCAACATCAGAAGGAACAAGCCTGAGCAACCATATATCTTATTAAGGGCCTAATTCTAACAATCAAGGGACTGACGATTCAGATATACTTACCTCTCTGGAAAACTGCGACCTTCGACCAAACTCCACACTAGAAAGCAAGGATTGATCGTCGACAACCTCCTCAGGTAGGACGGTGAGAAGCTCCAATACTGCATTGCTACCAGTGCCTTGACCCTGCAGTTCGTTCAGGCTTGCAAATAACCGTTCAACTGGTTTCCTCACCTCAGCTGCACGTAGAACCAAGGCTGATAGGGCGACACATATCTGGGTCAAAAGCTGCTCACAGCAAAACACAATTGAAGTCTTATCCCCTGTCTAATCTCTTTCTGTACACAGTCTTGATGTTCTCGGTAGAACTAAGCGAGCACCAAACGAGAAAGCAGAAAGACAAAAAACTGCACCGAAGTGCAACTTTACGCCTTGCATCGTACATAATATGATCAGAGTAAGACAAATAGACACAAACTTTAGAAAGAGGTGTAACAATAGTCGCTAATTTATGAACTATCGCTCGAATGATTCACCTTTTCAATTGTAAAATAATTTAAAGCAAAGAATACACACCTGAGAAGGCCCATTGCTAAATTTCTTAGCAGACATGAGCAATGCTTTTTGCAAAGCAGCCCTCCCATCTAGGGATAGCTTTCCAACATCGCATTGTATCTGTGAAGAATAAAAATCATTTGCAAGTGCAAGCGGCAATATTAAGTGTGTGTTGTAGCCCGAACTGATACTCACACCAGGAATCTAGCACCACTATCAAACACGTCAAGTACATTAAAGAACTCCACATTGTTAACCTACCCCAATCTCCAAGTCCAAAATCTCCTCCCCAACAGTATCAGAGAAGTAAGTTTGAAACTAATTGCTCTAGTTCATCTTAGTCCGTGCAGTAGTTAAATCGAGTAGTTAAGAGAGCAAGTCGCATTCACTATCAATCCATTAAACATCTAAACGTTTATGTAATGCACATTGTCAAGAACTTCCCAATGGAGTCTATTTTCCGAAATGAAGCAGAATTGAAGCATGTTTCTGGACACCATCAATGTTCACAGCAGGAGAAACATGCAGGCACGCTTAACTCAACACAGATCAAATTCTTGTCAATAGTGTGTATTTGTTATGTAGCACATCTCGGACAAAGTAGAAAAAGGAAAAAAAGAAGAGTAAAACTGAACACATACCTTCCGTTTAAGAACCTGGCCAGCAAAGAGCTCGACCTCTAAATCGATCGTTGGAGAAGAATCCATACTCATAATAGAAGTGGCCACTTCCCAAGCGGCATCCGAGTTTTGAAATTGCACCAGCCATTGATTTGCGGCAACCCGGTTAACTGATTGTGTGTCATGATTTAGTATGCGAACAGCCTGCACCACTTGTGCCTGTAATGACTCCATGTCTATATTTACTCCGATGACCCCCCAGCTCCCTAGCGATTCTACAATCACTCTTCAGGCCATTTAAACATTTGAAGCATGCAAAATGAAGCACTGTTCCATCGTAATCCAGGTACGCGATTGCACGGAGTTGCAAATTTAGCTCACCAAATCCTCCTCTCTTGAATACAGGAAAAAAACTAAAATTCGCTTATGTACGAAATCGATAGCATTCAAGGAAAACTCTCCAAGGTCCCAGGCGTAGAATCCAAAACGAAATAAATGTCAGTTATCTTTCTCAATCTTTTCCTCGATCTGAAAAGATGAATCGGCATCCAAATCTCCTCTGCGCCACACCTATATCTAATTCCTCGGGGAAACCGATATCCAGTCCTCTCAAATCGATTGCTGAGAAAAACTTCAACAAGAACGAGGAAAAGAAAGAGAAGGACCCCCAAAAACCCACTACACAACCATTCCACCTCCTCCACAGAGCATCAACACCGTCGCCTTCATTTTCCTCTTCATCACAACCATTTCCACTGCCTGCCGCTTCCTAAGTATCTTCTTTCTTTCAAAGACGGATTACCTTCACTGTATCCGAAACCAAGGCCAGCAATTGTCTTGCTGTCGCCGACAGCTCAACTCCATCGACTCTAAATCCAGACGTGGAAGCAGAAGAACCGGAGTCCAAATCCAAAACCGGAGGGATGAGAATCACCGAGGACTGCAACGAGTGGGGCAGGAAGCAGGAAGAATCCGCCCGCTAAATGGAGACGACGACATGGGACCGTGAGCTGCTGCGACGCGGGAGAGCACAGAATGCAACGCTGAGCAGAGCAGATTTGAGCAAGCAACGCATATGAATGAGCAGCGTCCGATATCCCGCCAGCGGGGGGGATGGGCCGAGGGGCCCGATGCGCCATGACCCCACACCCCCCCCTGCTAAAGGACCCCTATTACTGCATCAATTCAGATCTTGCATACATCTCCCATGACCCCGCCACCCCTTTCTCCGCATCCTGATAAAAAAAAGCCACTCGTATCCTCCAGTTTAGAATTCAAAACTTGGCCCTCAAACCATAACAATGTTTCTATCTATATGATTCAGTAATTCAACATGTTGTGAGCAAGCCAATTTTTAATTTTTGAAACAAAACTTCGAAGGTTTTCGAGAGAATGTAGAGAGTTAAGTTGTTTCCATGAATTCGTTTCAAATTATTGTAACAATGATGGTTTTTATGGCATCGTAACAGTACACTTGTCACCTTTGATTCATTTAAAGTCAAACTTTTAAATTGTGAAAAAAAAAAGTAGTATATAAACTCAACGATGCAAGAACGCACCATTTTTTAAAAACGTACACAAGTGAGTTTTACATTCATCACTTACAACTATATTTTTTACAATAATAACATGTGATAATTTTTATACGCCCTTTTCATTATACAATCAAAATATTAAAAGCTTCATCCCAAAAGCGTTTTTCCTTTATAAAATTCATAAATTAAAAAAAAATAATTATCATCATTTATCAAGAAATATGGTATTAATTTAAAAAAATTCACCCCTACTAATATGTGTCATAAAATATATTTACAAGCCTGAAATACATAAATTGTTACTTTCTTGGTATTCAAAGGCACTGTTCATGCAGAACCGCCAATTTGCTTTAGTTTCATTATTTCCAAATTAATAAATTTGAAAAAATCATCCATTGCAAATAGTAATATGACAAGTGAATATAAAATTCCAAAACCAGGAATATTTTGAAAAAATATTTCTTCTCACCACCAACACAACAATTTCAAGTATTCTAAGTATATTCATGCAGTATATTTTTTCCATTGTGGACTTTTTATAAATAGTGTGTGATTTTTTTATAAATAGTGTGTGATTTTTTGTGTATTTAATTTTCGGGTAATCTCTATTTTATTTTACTATTACATATCATTCATATGTAGTTTTGTATATCCTAATTATACATGACATCACGTTTTTTTAGAGTAAAAATATTATAAATGTCAAGTGATTAATATAAAATATTCAAAACATAATAATACGAACATATACACAATACATGTCTGAATTGTTTATGTTAATGAGCATCATGTACTTTATATATAGTATTTCATATCTAAAATTTTTATATTCATCAAACAATATTAATCGGGATTATTATTTTTATTCGATACAAGCTTTAAATAACATATTCTTCCTGAAAATTATAAAAACAAAACTTTTTTTTCTACAAGCACAGTACGTCAATCAAAACTAGAACCCTTGTGATTTTTTATTTATTTTTATTTTTATTTATTTTTTCATATTTTCAACAACTCAATTAACATTTATTTTGTGTATTGTGTGATTTTTTCATCCAAAATTGATTTCTAATGACGCAGTTTTTTTTCTAAAACTTGTAAGCAAACTTGTTTGTACGAAGAATAACATATTCCCCTTCTCAGTAAAATGAAAGGTCGAATTTCAACCAATAAATTACTTTTTATATATGTCATTAGTATTGTATACATACTTCACATAGTTTTGAAATGTAAAATACATCTGAAAACCTACATAATTTTTTTGTTGCACTCACCGAAATTGCACTTATTTTCAATCATATACACTATAAAGTAACTTATATTTATGTTTATTTTCTCTCTAATTTAATAAAAAATAAATATAAATAATTTTATGAATAAAATTTTGAAACAACAACAACAATAATAATAATAATAATAATCATAGTGCTTAAAATGCCTGGTAAGGCAGAGGGTGAGTTGAGCGGTTGGGATGGAGAGCGAATCGGGTCTCAATCGACGCGCCATGAGCAGGACCTCAATTGCGTCGCCGAACGAGATCCCAAAACCAAATCCATTTTGTTTTTGGTACCGTCAGAGCCAAAAAGTGACGATCTCGATTGGGATGTGAACCGCGAAGAAGGCCTTTTCCTGTCCTGGCGATGCTCTGCGACGGGATCTTGCTGTGCGGCGTTGCGGTGTGCAGTATCGGAGATCGTTCGCCTCAACCACTGCGTCGCCCCCGATCGAGCACCATGGTAATGCTCTCTTTATACATTCACCACCACATCGAAACAATCGAGTTCATCTGTAGTATCTCATGGTCCAATTCGGCATTTCAATACTTTGTCTGAGATGTTTGATGGGTCTTGAGAGAATGAAAATTACGACAGTGCGAAGGGATCACTAGGTCGAGGGTAATTCAGGGCGTGCTTTCGTCGCTGGTTTACGCCTTTTTGTGTCTCTTTTTTCACTTGCAATTGCACTTATTATCTGTTTCGAGGCTTTGCTGGTCGCTAGTGACATTCATCGCAGCTGCCCTGACCTAGTTTTGAGTTAAGTGTTTTGAAGTTGAGGGTCAGGTTCTCGACATTGGCGGCTTTAAACTGTCTAATTTCTGGCTTTGATTGTACTCCACGGTTGTCATGATATCGGTATTGTCGTTGAAAGTTGCCGACAGAACTGAAATCGAGCTCTGATTTTACGGTCCACGGCAGGATACACATGGATGACTAGTGATGAGAATGTGGATTGTTGTCGGGTCTAGCAAAAACTTATGCGTTTGGATTTTGTTCGATTGGATCGGAACAAGACTAATTCTGATAATTTTTCATTGTCTCTCGCTTTGTCTCGCAGCCTCTTCGCTTAGCGATCAAGGTATGATTCATTCCTTTGATATTGTCCACTAGAGTTTGTTTCTTTGATATTACTTCCCACAGTATTGGCTCCGATGTAGCGCCAACCAAGAGTGATGAGAGGCCCATGTCTACCTCTTTCGCAGATTATTTCATGAGTTACCTGTGTACTAGCATGGTCGGGTAGGCTTTGGCACTTCAGTCGTCAGTACCTGAGGTCATTTGTTGTTTGTGTTATTATCACATGCCACAACAGAATTTGTAATTGAATTCTTCTCATCATCAGCAGTGTTGCAGAGTGTGAAGTGGTGATTTTATGCCTGCACAGGTTTTGTGCTGATAGTGCTGATTTTCTTATTTCAGCGGAAACTCGCGCAAAGGTCTGAGCGAGTTAAGTGTGTGGATCTTCATCCAACAGAGCCATGGTAACGTCTCTTTAACGACGTCAGACGCAATCTGCATTTCTTCACTATGTTGCAAAGCTTTGAGAATCTACAGTCTGGGACTCATGGCGGGTTCTGTCGATGTGCCTTGGAACTTACATGCGTCCATGTTGTATGTTGGTTGGTTCTTGAACATGATGTTTCAGCAATTGAGGAATCTTATGATTGTCATGCAGGATATTATCCAGCTTATATACCGGAAGTCTTCATATTTGGAACTACCAGAACCAGGTATACACATGACACGACTTCCACATATTTTTCGTGACATTGTATATTCTAGACTGGTAAATTGCACCGGAAATAGTTCAGGCTTACGACCTGGGCCTCCGGCATGATTAGTGACTTGCAGGACCTCGGATGGTTCAGCGCCAGGAAGCTTTCAAAAAGCCTCCAGGCGTAGTCTGGAGAGACACTTTGCCTATCCGTTCATGCTTGTACAAGATTAAAGTAGAAGTTGATTGACATTCTATTAGTATCTCACCATCTAGCACAATTTCGTATTAGGTCCTCCTCGTGCTTCTAATGCTTATTCTTCGCTGTACGGAATGCATCACACCTGGAAAGGTTCATCCATGAAAGTGCATGCTTTAATCACACTTAGACATGGCTGATACAGGGTAGCCCATCTCCCCATCCCCGTAGGCATTGGAGTTGGATACCCAGCTTGTGATGTATGTTCCAATTTCACTTTTGGTTAGTTTTATATATCGAGCATGCATGTGCTGTACTTACGTTGATCATGGAGCAGCATTTCGCCGGTATGTTTAACGTCTGAAACGTTAATAATCTGCCAATACACACCTGGTGTTTATGTTAGCAGGAATTGTCGCATCGTTGTTGTTACTCGGCTGGTTCCATTTTGAGACTGACATTATTCTAATATCCTTATTTGCAGAGCCTGGTGAAGTCTTTCGAGGTTACCGACCTGCCAGGTACGTTGTTTGAGACCATGTTTATCCGTCCGTTCCATGGTTCAGCTGTCATTGTAGTAGTCACTCGCGAGTTTTATTACAGTCGTCACTCACAGTGCATCTTTCTGTGTTTAGCTGTTCTCTATTTTGAAACCATCACTTGAAAGTGCTGAGAGGAGTTCATCTCGTTCTGTTTTCTGCAGTGCGATCAGCGAAGTTTATCCCCCGTAAGCAGTGGGTTGTGGCTTGCTCTGATGACATGTTCATCCGAGTGTATAACTATAACACGATGGACAAAGTGAAACAGTTTGAGGCACACACTGATTACATTCGGTGTGTGATAGTGCATCCCACGCTACCTTATGTTCTATCATGCTCAGATGATATGCTTATCAAGCTCTGGGACTGGGAAAAAGGTTGGATTTGCACTCAAATTTTCGAAGGGCACTCTCATTATGTCATGCAAGTAACGTTTAATCCCAAAGACAGCAACACCTTTGCAAGTGCTTCTTTGGATCGAACTGTGAAGGTGAGGTACCAGTTGGTTCCGTCGTTTATTTTTCTGCAGTATTAGCTGTCTTGAAATATTACAAAATCATAGGGTTCCTTATGCTAATAGCTTTACCCCATATTCAAGCAACGAAGTTCAACTGATGTAAGATTGTCTTCCAAGACAATAGAACAAAACGATGGCTTAATTGTATGGACTGTCTTTTTAACAGATTTGGAACTTGAGTTCTCCCGAACCCAATTTTACCCTCGAGGCTCATCAGAAAGGTGTCAATTGCGTGGAGTATTTCACCGGCGGTGACCGGCCACATTTGATCACAGGATCTGATGATCAAACAGCCAAGGTGTGTTGATTCGTGTCTTATTATTATCTGTTTTGCTGATACCGTAGGTGCTTGGTTCCCTTAAAGCCGTAAGCAGATTCGTAGTTCACTTTACTAGATTGACGGTGTGTGGACGAGTAAATATTTGGTAACTTGTTCAGGTTGTTAAGGTGCTACGTGTTCATGGTTTGGTAATATTTTCGGATGTTATTCTTTGACGCAGGTGTGGGATTACCAAACCAAGGGTTGTGTGCAGACTTTAGAGGGCCATTCTCACAATGTATCTGCAGCGTGTTTTCATCCCGAGCTCCCTATCATCCTTACTGGTTCAGAAGATGGAACAGTTCGTATTTGGCATGCAACTACGTACAGGTATACGTTTCCTCTTTCTTCCTCTCTTCCATAGCTTTTGGATTGTGTGGACTTTCGTTGTTTTCAGATTTGAATATGGGTTCTCTGTATCTTTAAAATGCCGTGCACCACACAATAAGCCTTTCGGCAGTGTTGTGCAGTATGACCTATCTTGACTCCATTAATTTTCTGTGTGCCCTTCCCGTCCAACTGCTGGAAGTAACGTTTTGCACGCCCACCCGTCTATGTCAACAAAGTTTATGTCGAAATGTTTGGGAGTTACAGTGTCCGTTTATTGGTTACAGTTGAATCTTCTTTCTTGTTCAGGTGCTTGGTAGTAGTTGATTGATTTTTTTTATTTTTTCCCTTTGTTTTTAAAGGCTAGAGAACACGTTGAACTACGGCTTGGAGCGAGTATGGACTATTGGGTACATCAAGGGCTCAAAAAGGCGAGTTCTCTACCAAAACGTTTGAACTCAACGTATTGTATCTTTTAGGCGGTTTAACAAGTTATTCTTAAGACATATACAAGGATATCATTTAATTTTTTCACCTAAAACATCCTGTTACACACTCCTTCATTGATGTGTGTGTGTAATTCTGCGTTTATTCATTTATATGTATGGGATTGTCTTATTATTGTGCAGGGTGGCAATTGGATACGATGAAGGAACTATCATGATTAAAATGGGAAAGGAGGCACCAGTTGCTAGCATGGATGGTAGTGGTAAAATCATATGGGCAAAACACAATGAAATACAGACTGTCAATGTCAAGGCAGTTGGTGCTGATTTCGAGGTGGCGCCTACTCCTGTTTAAAAATTAGATTCAAATAAAGTTAGTTGTATTTGTTTTATACTTTCTTTCCTGTGCAATGTTAGTTATCATTAGCTATATTTAGAACTATCATGTAGTAATATCAAATAACTGAAGCTTTTTCATGTTTTTATTTTTATTTTTGTGCAGTTTGCTGATGGAGAACGCTTGCCTCTGGCTGTGAAAGAGCTAGGGAGTTGCGATCTGTATCCTCAGGTATTTTATTTTATTGTTAAAGTTCTGAAATGTAAGCCCTGAATTTGGTTTATGTTTGAGTTTTACAACTTGTTTTAGGATCGCTAAGTAGTTTAGTTTGTGTGCTTCGCAGAGCCTCAAACATAATCCCAATGGCAGGTTCGTGGTAGTGTGTGGTGATGGTGACTTCATCATCTACACAGCTCTTGCTTGGAGAAATCGATCATTTGGTTCTGCCTTAGATTTTGCCTGGTCAACTGATGGTGAATATGCAGTTCGCGAAAGCACTTCCAAGATCAAAATCTTTGGCAAAACTTTTCAGGTAGCCTTCTCTGAGAAATAAATGTTCTTTGTGCATAGTTTATTATTGTTGATGGATGCTTCGACATCGATCATCTTGTTGCTAAGTTCTTATGTTTTAGTGTTGGATACCTTCCTGCCTCTCATACGCTGGTTTTCGTCACTTTCTGACATCATCAGTTCTACGTTAATCGGTTGAAAAGCTCTTTAAAGGCATTTACAGAGGTGCTTGATGTGAATTGCAGGAGCGAAAAAGTATTCGGTCATCTTTTTCAGCTGAGGGAATGTACGGTGGTACTTTGCTTGGAGTTCGTTCTAATGACTCGGTCTCTTTCTATGATTGGGCTGAAGGCCGTGTAATTCGGAGAATTGATGTCGTAGTGAAGGTAAAAGTCATTAAATAATTCTTTCTGAGGACTATCTTTTCTAATATTTATTATAATAAATGGGAGTCTATCAACTCTCTCTGTCTCCCTCTGCTCAAACTAATTCAAGTGTTAACAAATTGTTTATTAATATCCGTATCTTTCGGAAGGCATCGTAAGCTAATTTATTCTTGTCACAGAACGTATTCTGGTCAGACAGCGGAGATCTGGTTGCGATTGCGAGTGAAAGCTCCTTCTATATTCTGAAGTACAATGTAAGAGCAAGCACTGTGTATAAATATTGCGTAGTCCATATTAGAATTTTTGGGGTTTACAGGTTGGAACTCCATGTCACGGCTTACTTTCCTCCTTTATAGGAAACGTGAATGCAAATCGCGTGCTCTCTAGTGTTGAACTCTTACACATACATGTAGGTTTTTGGTTTCAATGTATTTGAAAGTAAAATTTATAAGAAACTATTTATCTTTCCGGTGCTAGGTACTTACGATTCTCAATCTTCTATGTTCAGCGGGATGTGGTTGCAGAGCACTTTGACAGTGGCAGGCCAACGGACGAACAAGGTGTGGAAGACGCCTTCGAACTCCTACACGAAATCTCCGAACGAATTAGAACTGGCTTGTGGGTGGGCGACTGCTTCATTTACAACAATTCGGCATGGAGGCTCAACTATTGTGTCGGTGGAGAGGTAAGGAAAAACAAGTAAACCTTAGACACAATGTCATTTGCTTCTTTGAAGGTGATCTTTGTGTTGCTCGAACTAGTAGACCACCCTCTGGTGAGATGGTCGCTAAAGAACTCCAAAATAACTACATACCTACATCAATTGATTCCAGACCGTCAGGCATTAGAGATTATCTTGACAGTCATAGGTGGCGCCAATAACTAATCCCGTGCAATTCAGTGGCCTACTGCAATTTTGACTACCATGTCAAGCTTATTTCCTCTACGCTTAATCACTCCAGTTTTGGTATGAGATCGTGGTTACTAATTGTAGGACCTGGAATTTCAGGTGACGACAATGTTCCACTTAGATCGTCCGATGTATCTACTTGGGTATCTCGCAAATCTGAGTCGCGTGTACCTCATCGACAAGGAGTTCAAGTGAGTCCTGTGGAGAAGAGGGCCGATGGCCAAAATTATGTGTTAAGTTTCATGAGATGGCCAACCGTTCTAGTAATATTCAGAAGTAAATGTTCCAACTTTCATGGGCTCAGAATGAAGTTAGAAATTACTACGTCTTATTTGATTGGTTCAATGTAATTTATGGATTAAACTCTTGAATGCCGTGGTTGGTTTCAGTGTCGTGAGCTACACACTTTTGCTGAATCTGATAGAGTACAAAACTCTAGTCTTGCGAGGAGATCTGGAAAGAGCAGAGGAAGTTTTACCGACTATTCCAAAGGAACATCTGAATAGGTCCATTGAAACTTAATTTTTTGAATTTATGGTGGCAAGTTGCGTATTTGAGTTATTCCCTTCATTGTTTTCTGTTTTCTCACTTATGTAGTAGTGGTTTGAGGTAATTTGGTTTTAAAGCGCTAATACATCTTTTCTGGGCAGTGTTGCGAAATTTCTGGAGTCACGGGGTCAGGTGGAGGATGCTCTTGCTATTGCAACTGATCTTGACTACAAGTTCGATATGGCCATTCAGCTAGGCAAGCTAGATACTGCTAAGGTGAAGTTGATTCCCTTGTGACTGTCCTGCTGTGGAGTTTTGATTTCCATTTATTCATGTGTCGCTTAGCAGGTACACTGAGATGTAAATATTCTCGAGGTTCCACGGTTTACAAAACCGTCCAGTAAATCGGCAGGAAAACAAATGTTTCAATTCGGACCAATATGCCATGTTTCCTGATGTTGAAATATACACAAATTTATCTTTGTTTTGAGTCTCTAAATGTTTTTTGTGCACCGGCTATATCTATTAAACTATGCATCCAAATCACCAAGGTGGCATTACGCTGAGAAAGTAAACAAATATATCTCAGCTACAACAGGTTCCCTGATGACTTAAGATGATTTTGGAGATACGACCCCTTATTATCTAGTTTGTAACTTCTTTGGATAGACAGAAGTGGGTAACATTGCAATGAATATAGAATTGAAGAGATCATTAAATAGTCGTTTAGTTGCTTGTGCAGGATATAGCCGAAGAGTCACACAGTGAGTCCAAATGGAAGCAGCTAGGCGAACTTGCCATGTCAGCTGGACAGGTATGATGTGGAAAAGCTCTGAGAACTATCTGAAGCAAGTTGTAGAAATGAAATAAGTCTGTTGTTGGTCTTGTTTATCTGGGCTTCTCTTATATCGGTATGGTTCTGGTATATTTAGATTTATACAGTAACAGAGAGTTCGTATCCTGTGGTTTCTCCAGAGTTTGAGAACTCAAGTTCAACGTTTTCTATGTTGTGGATTTGATTTGTGAGTATATGTTGATGATACACAAATCTCCCACTTAGTCTGAGAGCGTTGGTTGCGCAGTTTGAAGTTGCGGAAGAATGCTTCGGTTACGCGAAGGATTTGAGCGGTTTCTTGCTGCTATATACAGCCCTTGGAGATGCTCAAGGGCTTGATAAACTGGCAGCTACTGCCAAGGAGCAGGGGAAGATAAACATTGCCTTTCTCAGCCACTTTTTACTCCGAAAAATAGAGGATTGTGTACAATTACTGATAGACAGGTACCCATGCTTGTGCCCTGTTTCAAACTCCACTTATGCAATCATAATTCGATTCCAATCGTCACACCGAAGACGGTATAGCAAGCTTGGTAAAGCTTAGTAATTTGATTGAACTGTTTTCAGGTCTAACCATTTTTTTGTCCTTTTTGCCCTGCAGTAATCGGATACCGGAGGCTGCCTTTATGGCTCGTACATACTTGCCGAGTGAAGTGAGCAATGTTGTTAGTCTCTGGCGAAATGATTTGAAGAAGGTAAACTAACTTGGATAAGCATTTTCCCTTATCTGCACGGCTCATCATATAAGGACTCGTTTATTTTGAAGAGTTATGGAAGGTTGTGTTTGGGGTTGTGAGCAGATAAATCAAAGGGCTGCTGAGTCATTAGCAGACCCTCAAGATTATCCCAATTTATTTCCAGATTGGGAATTGGCTTGTGATGCGGAAGTCAAGAACAAGGAGCAGAGGTAGGTTGCTTTTACTCTTTGGGGTGAATGAGTGGAATTTCATTTGCATGTCGTTAACAAATTGCCTTTACTTTTTTTTTGTATTATAGGGGGGGAATTGCTTCTTCTACAAATATGTCTAGTATACAATCTCTATGACAATTTTTCTTTCTTTTGGGAGGAACGGCTGTTTATCCCATCTTTTCTGAATGTCAACAGCGCCAACTTTCTTCCAGCCTCGCAATATCTGAGTTACATCAATGGTGAACTAAGTGACTTGACTGGTGAGGTAGAGGACTTACATTTGAACAAAGATTCTTCTATGGAAAACGGTCACTACGTGGAAGAGGTGAACACTTGTTTAAATATCATGTTGCTAAATTGGAGCCCAAATTAATTATCAGTGAATTAAAAAAAGCTTGCGCTTGTCTAAATGCGTGAACTTCTCTTGGTTTCCGGTATTGTATTGCTCTTGGCAGTTGCTTCTCTTTTAAAGAACAGTCTCTCGCTGTATCATGGAATATAAACTCTTTGTAAGAGCATTTTGTTACCCAGCAGTCTAGAGTTTTAAGTAAACGCCTACCGGTGTCTCATTGTCTACTTCGCAGAGCGGAGGACTCGTAGGTAACCAGGAACAAGAAGTTTTCCATGACTCAGAGTATTTGAAAGAGTATCAACATGAGGATTTAAATGTGGATGATGGGGCTGGTTTTGTGAAGGCCGACCAGTACATAGAAGGTGAAGGCGAGCTTTTGGAGCCTCACCTCGTAAACAACACTCACGAAAGCGCTGAAGAATGGAGTGTGGAAATCGAACAACCACATCTTGAAGAATGAGATTGGAGCTGGCTCCTTTGAACGCAACAGTAGGCAGCATAATTAGCCGATGCTGAGAATCACTTTCATGGTAAATGGCGGCATGTTTCACAGGAACTGATCTCTGTTCGTGTAACAATAGAATGATGCCAGCTTATCTGTAACAAAGTGAGAGCCGTTCTGTTGGTGCTCCATTCACATAGGTGGAGCATCTCAAGCTAACAACGTGCTTGCATTCTGCCAAATATTTTAAGTTACCAATATTAGCCAGAAGCATTACCATTTTTTACTACTTTTATAATGGTAGCCATGAATGAGGACATGGTAATTTAACCATGTCCCATCCTACGTTGTCAGCTCCGTAAGGATTCAAGGGTCTTGACTTGAAAAGCTCTGAAATCCCAGGATACTCCAGATACTGCTAAGTGCTCCTAGCTATGTAAATGTTCCTTGTATAACTGAGTACGTGGAAATATTCCCAAATTCTTAACAACGTGATACTTCAATCCTGCCACAGTATCTCGTGCTCTCTTCATTTTAGGGTGATGCTTCTACTATTTGTGGGAGGGCATATGATGGAATGGTGTCATTACAGACACTCCATGTCTTTTGCAGTTGGAAGGATCTATGACCCTTGCGGTAAGATGTACTAGTGGTTTGTATTATACATTTGCAGTTACAGATACTCACCGGCAACTTGTGAAAAATCATGACAAGAAGGGTTACAGACTACGAAGCCCAACATTGGTTTGATGTTCCAACAAGATAAGCAGAAAAACAAAATAAAAATTAAAAAGAAAAGTTGGGCAAAAATTGATCATGTAGAAGGGGTGTTACATGAAGTGCTGCAAAGGTAAAACTTACTTCAGTTTTGATGGTGACAAATAATTTTCAGTAACGAATGGTACAAAGGATGTTTTGTCTATATTGATATGGAGAATTAATGGGTTGCATTTAAATTTCAATTAATCCTTTTCAATGTTGCCAAAACGGTGTTCATTGTAAATAAGTTGGATTTTTAAAAACAATTTGGTAATTTCTGTAGAAAAATAATAAATTAACTTAATATTATATTAAAAATAATAATTTCTGTAGAAAAATAATAAATTTGAAATTAGGCTTTTTGAGCCCCTTTGGAGTAGCATTGCTTTATTGTCAAAGTAGAAAAGCAAATAATTCCTTTTTATATTATTTTCAATAATGAATTTTAAATGCCTCTTATTTACCTTTTTTTTTTTTTTTTTTTTTTTTTTTTTTTCTTATTCTTCTTTGCATGCAAAAGACGTCTTTAGCCAAAATAATAATACCAGTAATATTATTGATCAATTGTTTGCAAGTAATGTTGAATATTGGACTTGGTATTGGACTTGGTATTGAACAATTTTTATTTGACTTGGTATTGAACTTTATGTTTCTTAGAATTTGATTGTCTGGCATTGTGTTTGATTTGTATTTTTTAATTTTTAACTTTTATTTAATTAATTGTTCTCATACTTTGCTACTATGCATTTCTTTTCTTTTACAAGTTGATTGTTTCTTTACAAAACTTAAAGTATGAATGTTGTAGTTACATTCTTTAAGTCAATTTAGACTTTTTTTTTAGTTGCTAAATGTGTTACTATATTGCAGTTAATTTTTATGTTCCACATAATTTTCTCAATAACATTATTTATATTCGTAAATTATATAAAGTTTTAAATAAAGTTTTAAATAAAGTTTCTCCTTTTTCTCAATTTTCTTGATGTGGATAATTGAGGAATAAATGCCATGCTAAATTCAAATTAGCCATTTACTATTTGACAAAACAGAACAAACCATGTGCTTGAAATTTTTCAATTAAAAATTAATACGATGAATTTTAAAATTTTAAAAAATTTCTATTGACTATTAATAATTTGATGTTTTTTATAAATAATTTATAATCATATCTTTAGTTAATTCCAATTAAAAAAAAATTAATATAATTAATCTTTAATATTTTATATTCATATAAAACGGATCTCTTATCTTAAAAGGTTACTTTTTAATTAGTAATGTAGCTTGTATTAGAGTGTATCTAGAATATTTTTCTTAAATACAAAAAAAATGATGTAAAGGAAAAAAACCACTTTAAATTGAACTTCTTCAAAGGCTTAACAGTGAATACTTTGTTTTTAAAGTAATCTATACTTTTTATCATCATATTAGAAAATCATTTAATAATTTTTAAATTATCACAAACCAAATTTTATGTTATAACTTGATGAAGCAAAAAAATAATATGAGCAATTTTGATGTTAGCAACTACTTTTTGAATTCTATTTATTTTTTAAGATTTGTAATGTTTAATTTGATGCAATCAACTTTAATAAAATATTTTTATAAAATTGAATTAAAGTTTATTTATTATTATAAAAAAGAAAAAAGTAAAAAAACTTAAATTTTAAAACCTACATCAATTTTTTAAAAATGTATTAAGATTATAAAATATAGTAAAAAAAAATATTACAAAATAATAATAATAATAGTAAATCTTACAAGAATTGTAAATAGTTATAGAACATTATACATTCTATTTAACATTATTATCTCTTTATAAGAAGGTTTAGGCTACAAGTACACCCCAAATTGCTATATACATATCCAAAAAAATAGAGACCTCTAATTGATTGTTTGTTTTGTAGAGATTGACACCTATCATTACTGCAGAGATCTTACTATCATCTCCTACAACAATCTTGCTTGTTGGTCAGGGGGTGAGGTGAAGAAGCAACACTTCTATTCAAGTTTGATTTTAATTTTTTTTTTCTAGTCTTGTAGCAATTTCTAGTCCCAGAGAAAGTCCTTGACTTCCTCTCAACTCTCTAGTCTTGTAGAGTTTCATGCTTCATTTTTTCTAGCTCGTGCTTTTCATTTTTACTCTTTTAGGCTAGCTTATTGTAGATGTCTTCTATAATCCATTGGGCCTTGAATTTACTCTTGAACTCTTGTAGAGCTTTGGTGATTGCTACTTAAGCCTCAATGTATTATTTATAGTCGCTATGGCTAGATTTCTAAAATTTAAATAGTATTTTGCATGTTCATATCAAGTAAACATGCAAGTGTACAATTGTCATTTATAATACTTGGTTATCAATGTTTGATCAAAGTTTCTTATCTTCTTTTTTTCTTTTTTGTTCTATCCCATATCAAACTCTCAATGCCTTTTAAAATGATACCATCACTTGTAACTTGATTTGCACACTAAAAGTCCATCAGCATTGATAATATATCTCCAAACTCTTGTGTTGCATGATATATGTATGGCTTTTATATCACAAAGCTTTGTGATATCTTCATCAATTACAAGAGCTCTAACTTGCAGTAGCCTACCAAAGAGAAAAAAAATTACCTCATCAACTAAGATTCTCGTTCATAGTAAAGCATCAGAGTCATTGTCTTCTTCATGGCAAAAAGAGTCTCCATATAGTCAATATCAAGGCACCATCCCGAGCATGAACACATAGATATCATTCATTTATCACAAATTAAGATATGAAAATTTGGTTGGAGGTGAGCAAACTATGTCATCTTTGTTGTTCCATATGCTTTACAACATCTCCAAATTGTTCACACAATAATGGCAAAACAATAATGGATAGTGGAATTGCTCATGCTTGTCCTAATTGGGTGTATATTGGCTAGTAGGTGGGATGACGATATGTATTTTGAGCACACTCATGCTTGGAATAAAATGAAGTATGAGACTAGGGAGATGGAGAAAAAAGACTTATTTTAGGATTAAGAATTGCTACAAGGCTAAAGAAACAAAGTTAAAATCAAATTTGGGTAGGGATGCTACTTCTTCACCATGCTCTTCATTGGGAGTTGGATTGTTGCAAGGAATAACTACATGACCTTTGCAATAATGGCAAGTATGAGTCTCCACAAAACAAGCCAATTAGATGTCTATTTTTTTTGGATGTGTGTATAGCGACTTGGAATGTACTTATAGCTTGAGCCTTATAAGAATATCAATTTGTGTAGTACTTCGATTTTTAAATATATCTATTAATAATGTTAGTTTTTAAATTTAATATATATATATATATATATATATATATATATGTGTGTGTGTGTGTGTGTATGTGTGTATATGTATGTATGTACATATGTATATTTAGTAGTTATTCAATCTCTAAAAAAAGTACAAATTTACTAATTTAAATCACTAATTCAAATCATATTTATAACTAATACATGAACAATGCTTAATGTTATTTTCTTAGGAAAATAATTATGCTTTGATTTTTAAAGAAATTTAAGATATTTTACATATTTCTTGAAATAAATAAATAATCATATGTATATATATACACGTAATTTATTTTTAAAAAATAATATAGTACATTTGTAAGTAGATTTCTTCAATAAGAAAAAAAAGCTTTTCAATATTGGAGTTGTAAAAGTAATCATAATTTTTATTTCTTAAAAAAATCCTTATTATAATAGAAAACGTCAATAGGCTTATTTTTTTTCTTTTAACTCATATTCTTTCTAACTTTTTTCTACTATTACCAGAAAGTTACAGAAATCAATTATTACATTTAAATAAAAATAAATAAATAATTTTTTTTAAAAAAAATCTTTTACTTTTTCCGTATTTCACTACTAATTGTATAATTGTTCATCTTATATAAATCAATTATTATATTAAAAACTTGTCTTCAAAAATATACTTGATATCAATGATTTCATGCAATAGTAGATTATCCTTAAAACTCCATGATTACATTTTAAGTAGAATGTTCATTACTACCTCTTAGATGATGTATGATGTATGATGTATGACTTCTTTTGGTATATTGTAATTTAAAAGCTTTGGTCACTATTTTTGTCCACAAATATAATTTTTAAACTACTGAAAATTATAATAGAGTATATGGTCCCTATGACAATTAGTTAAAATGAAATTAAAAAATATAATTGTTTATTTACTTTTTCATATTTTTTCTAAGACCTGAAAGCTAAATGGTTTACAAGTTATTATTGGAACATGAGAATACATCAGTTACCTTTATTTTTAGCAAAACATCTAACATCATTAAACTTTTTGTATGTAAAGTATTTGAACAAGTAAAACTTTAAATCCTACACATTTAATTGAACCATCGTTGAGGTATAGAATTGTTTTGTAACAAGGAAAATAACTATTTTAAGGAATTTCAAACTAATTGTTTAAAAAGAAAAATGTGGAACTCATTTTGTTTCCATTTGTGTTCCTCAATGTCTTTTTATTACTAACAAGGTGGGTGGGACACCTAGTTATCATGTAGAAACAAATTAGGAACATGCTGTCATTTTAACACCTCTTGAAATTTTTAATTCGTCTTATGCTTTAACCGTTTATTCTTCATTCATTGATCCAGGACAACTTTGCAACATTCATGATGTTTCTTCTACTTTTGCACATCACTTTTACTGTGAATTTAAGTAACTGCATTTTGTTCAAAGGTATTACCTACAACTATTTCATCATCTTTCTCCATTCAAAACTAGAGCCCTAAAATTCCCACTTTGTAGCATGCTTAATCCAAATCTACTACCGAACATGCTTTGACTTAGCGTACTTCACGTACTTAAAATTTCAGATGTCGACTGAAGCCCATGATCATTCCTAATTTAAGATATAAGCTCAGGAATTTGGCTTGGGAGGCACGAGATATAGTTTAGTGAAAGCATTCCACTACATCAGCGGGATCACTCTCATAGGCACAGCACCATACTGTACACAAGTTTTGCAGCTGCTCTAATTGCATAGAGAGTAGGCCTGAAAAGGGATGACCAACATACCATGTTTCACACAAAGAACTCTGAGGGAAATTCAATCCTAATACTGGACACACAAATCAAGCTTCAGAAAATAGAATCCTTCGAAACCTACATCTGAAACGCATGAAACGTGGTCAATAAGTACATCAGTAACAAATGCTCAGCCCTGTCACATACCACAGTATTCTTGGTGAATATTAGGGTAAGTGTTGAGCTGCGGTACACTACGACCATCTGTTCGTAGTGTAGAGAGCACAGCAGTACTCCTAAAACAAGTTATGCAATTTCTGCAACATTGGATTTAAATAACAGCAATAATTACGAAGTATTATTAGTATCCTGAACTGCAATAAATTCAATGAAATACCCCTCATCTTTTGGCTTCCACAAACTAACCAAAAAACTCGCATCCAGTTGAAAAAGGAAATGTAAGCTTGGCACTATACTACTCTTGTATTAAAATTCGGGACTTACAGAAGCCAGTGAAAGAACGGCTTCCACGTGCCAGCTACATGTATAGTGCGCCAAATAGCTCATTGCCATCAATGATATTATGCATCCTAAACATTGTGTACATTGCTCAAATTAGGGCGCGCTCTTCAAAGACCTTCAGCATAGTGGCTCCAATTTGTGCAGGCGACTCACATACGGTGACACCAGCTGCTCTTAGAGCATTGATCTTGTCTGTCGCAGTCCCCTTTCCTCCAGAGATAATTGCTCCGGCGTGTCCCATTCGCCTCCCAGGAGGAGCCGTTAAACCTGCAATAAATGACACAACTGGCTTCTGCGTACCACTTTCCCTAATGAAAGCAGCTGCGTCCTCTTCGGCAGACCCTCCAATTTCACCAATCAACACTATTCCTTCAGTTTGCGGATCATCCACGAACTTCTCGAGACAATCTACAAAATTCGTCCCATTGAAAGGATCGCCGCCGATCCCCACGCACGTGGACTGCCCTAGGCCTACTGCAGTCGTCTGGAAGACTGCCTCATACGTCAAAGTCCCAGATCGCGACACAATCCCAATGCGTCCAGGCTTGTGGATGTAACCTGGCATGATACCAATCTTGCACTCACCTGGCTTGATGATACCAGGACAATTAGGCCCGATTAGGCGTGTCTTCGACTGTTGTAACAACGCCGACTTCACCTTCACCATGTCGTGCTGCGGGATGCCCTCCGTGATGCACACAACCAGATCCAGCTCCGCATCTAGGGCTTCCAAGATCGCGTTCGCCGCCAACGACGCAGGCACGTAAATCACTGACGCGTTAGCCTTCGTCTCCTTCTTCGCTTCCGCAACAGTGTTGAAAACGGGCAAACCTAAGTGCTCTGTCCCACCCTTCTTCGGTGTCACTCCTCCCACCATATTGGTACCATAGTCAATAGCTTGCTCCGTGTGGAACGTGCCATTTTTCCCTGTGATCCCCTGGCAGATCACTCTCGTCGTCTTGTCCACAAACACAGCCGGCCTGGAAGACAGCTGCCTCCGCCCGCCATCGCTATGAGTTGCCAAGCGCCCGAGCTGCCGCGCGATGCCAGCAACTCTTCTCATCCTTTCACTGCCTGCCTTCCTTCCTTCCTTCCAAGCACTAGAATGAGAATGGAGCTAACAACAACAACAACAATAACAGTGGCGAGAGCGGCAAATCCTGTTCCGCCTGCATGCATGCAAGCAAACCCTAGCGAGAGATGAAAACCCGCATACAGCGTTGATGCTCATCCAGTGTTGTAAGTAAAGCGCCGATAGCATTGCTTGGAATCGTCGCTTGCCGCTCACCCGCCCACGCCTGTTCCGAAAACGAATCGGCTCCTGAATTGTTGTGAGAACGTGGCACTCTCGCCTGGCCTCTGTTCCCACCGCCCCCGTGTTTCGCTCTGCGCCCCCCCCCCTTCCATCGTCGTTCAACATTCTGGTGCTGGAAACCCTAAATTACTTCATCGGTTCGTTTTAATAATGACACTGGCGCTTAAAAATTTTAACTGGTTTAAACTTGTTTAGTCCTTAAAACAATGTGCGTGTGTGTGTGTATATATATATATATATATATAATCTAGTGGAAACTCATGTTGATGGCCATGAAAAAACTCTAAAATTTAATTTGTAGTTGCTAAGTCAAAAGTTGACCACTCCTAACAAAATGTTGGCTAAGGAAAAAAAAAAAAACAAAAAAACAAAAAAAAAACAAAACAAAACAAAACAAAAAAAAACAAACAAAGAATATATTCATACCAATGGAACCACTTATGCTTGTTTTAGTGTAGTTTTTCCAACTACACTAAAACAAGCATAAATAATTACTACAACAATTTTTAATTACTACAACAATTTTTAATTACTACAACAATTTTTAATTACTACAACAACCTAAATAACTAAATTAAAAGAATTTTGGAATAAATTGAATTTATGGTGATGTTTTTATCTTCATTGTTTTTAGGATATAGGATCTTAATCATATTTGGAGAAGTGAAAACTTGTGTCACTGAGCATAAGAAAGTGTACTCATGTGCTCATGTGCATTCTTGTAAATTCTCCAACTTCCTATGGATTCTTGTATGTTTCCTTGCATTTCCTGAGTTCCCATGGATTCCCATGCATTTCTTCAGTGTATATATATACATATACATATAGTTTGTTTTATGTATCATAATATAGTATAATATTATGAAAATATATGATAATAGTCTATCACTATATATATATATATATATATATTTAACAATTTTGATAGTTAGAATTTTAATAGAATGTGATTCAAAATCAAAATCTAATCTTAAGTTATTGTTATGTCTTCATGTCCAATTACAACTTTCAAATTGGAAATAAATGATATGATTTAATAGTCTGACAATAGACAGACTCCAAGAATGCAAAAATTCTTTGATGTTTGTTGAGACAAGTCATGAAACTATGTTGACGCATTCTACAAGCAACACAGTCTTTTGATGATACAATGTTATTTTTGTGTGTGCAGAACCCAAAGCATATAGAGAAGATAATGTTAACATTATATTTATTAGTGGTTATGCTTCAAGCACCAATTATAATATTGGAGGCATTTTGGACATAATTAGGAGATACAAGAATGGAGCAACTTTGATTTGAGCAGTTTTGAAGTGCTATTGAAATCAAGGCCCTCAATGAATTCAAGGTTTATTCAGTATTGTGTAGATTAGATGCATGTATGTATAGATTCATATCTGCCTAATATATATCACATGTTTTGAGGCATTGTCTTCAATAACTATAGAAGATGTGTAAAGCACATGTTTCTGGTTTCAATGTATCATAGACATGTACTTTAGAAGCATAACAAGTAATCCAAAGCAAACTTAAGTTTTATATTGGAGTTCAGTTTTAAATGTCCAAATCAAGTGATAAAGATAGGTATTATGTTTTGCAAACATTCTTCTTAGAGATATGGCAAAAACCATGTCAAATGCTTCACAATGTGTCTACCTATCAACTTCATACCAATACCACATTCTTGCTAGTTATGCATCTTTTTACTTTTGTTTTGGCTATTAGGCAAATGTCTCTTTTTGCTAGTTATACTTCTATAGCCTCGTCAAAAAAATTGATCCATTCATTTAACAAATAATATTGTCTTCTTTTCAACTACTGCCTTGGAATAATGAGTTTCCATTCTCCACCTCTTGATCTTCTTCTTTAATGGCATTGTTGGAAGATGTCATTACTGAGAAGTGCTTGTAAAACCTGGTTTTGTTGCACAACAAAGTAAGAAGTTCCTTTGCAAAAAACAATATTGATTAAAAAGAAAGAGCACAACTTAGGTGGAAATGAAGGAAGCAAGCAATCTAGCTAGCTAGCAAGAGTGACGAAGAGATAAATGGCAAGGCAAAAACACAACACAAATGCACATCCAAGATAGAAGGAGAGAGTGCACATTTGAGGTTGTTATTGGAAATCTTGAGGACTCTAATTACTTGGAACTTGGAAATTCTCATGGTTTCAACCACTTTGTGCTCCCACATTCTCAAAGTTTCCTTCAATAGCCAATCAAAATACATTTTTGTCTTATGTTGTTTTATGTTATTACATATACATATATATATAAAATAAGTAATTTCATGTATAAATTAAGAGCTTGATGAATATTAAAATAAAATATAAAATAAAGGAATAATTTTCTTTTTTTGAGAAAGTTTTTGTAAAACAAATTCAATATTATTTTGTATTTAAATTGGTTTTAAAATTTTAAAATTCATTTGTGTTATTTTTATATTATTAGAATAATTATATTTATGTTAATAATATGTATTAAAAGAATATGAAGTACTAGCTACAAATAAATGCCAAAATTTTAGTATAGTGTCAAATATTTTTGCTAATGACAAAGATTTAAACTTAAAATTATGATAATAGGTTTCTTTTATTCTTTTATTTCTCACTCTCTCTCTTCAACCACAATATGAGGAGGAGAAAGGAAGAAGTTTATTTTATGGTCAAAATATTGTATAAAAGTACAGAAAGATCACTATTTAATAGAGAGAAATTTAAAATTTAAATTCCTTTAAATCATATTACTCCTAGAACAAATGTTTTGTTTTTTTTTTTGTTTGTTTGTTTGTTTGTTTGTTTGTTTTTTTTATTTTTTTTATTTTTTTGTATTCTTTTCATCATATCCCAAGAACATTTATTCACCTAAAATCTTAATGGAATGAGAAGATTCGTTTATTTATTTTGAAATGACTGTTTTGAATTTTAAAAAATTATCTAAAATAAAAGGCAGTGTTCTATTAATTCGCTTACAAGTTACGTGTATAACATTTTTTCTTTTTTCATTTTTATATGTTCAATTTCAAACACACTGGTACAAGTCTTCTCGTTCTTCTTCTTCTTCTTCTTCTTCTTCTTTCTTTTTTTTTTACAAAATTATGTTGGAGTTTAAGGTCCAAGTCAATATAAACCAAAGCATTAAAACATTAACAAGAATATGAAGAAATTCTTAGAAATTAGATATCACAGTTCAATTACAGAGGCAAGCAAATCTTGAGCAAGTTTAAAGAAATGCAGTTGTTCATTTTGAATCAAGTAACATGTGGTATTAAAATGTACCGTTATTTGTATATTCTTTAAAAGAAATTGGTCAGTTATTTACAGATCTAGTCTTTAGTTGCACAAAGCATAACAATTCTTTCTTTCTTATGGATCAGTTCATAAATTTCAAAACTATAACTTTCTACCAGAATCTCGATATTTCACAAAATATCTATCTATGAATATATTCACAAACACTAAAAACCACTTCCCTTTAAGAAATCAGCAATGGGTTAGAAGCATTCACACAACACAACAGACCTAAACCCTTGCACATTTATTGCAAAACTCAAAGCTTACCTTTAATTTTCACATTTGAATTCACCGAAAGTCACCAAGTTTACTGTCTTCTTAAATTCAAAAGAATCAACTAAAGCACAAAAATAAAGTACAAGGAAAAGAAAAAGTAGTCAAGGAATGCTTCCAATCCTTAAGCTGCACAGACTGATGAACTAGGAGAAGAAGACACAACAGTCCGGTGAAAGCAAAAACTATTTCATGAACAAAAAGTTTTTATTCTGATGTAAGAACCCAATGTAAAGAACCTTTCAAGGAACTGTAAAAGTTAATTTTTTATGTCTATAAATATATAAAACGAGAAGAAAACCCAATTTCTTCCTAAAACCAAAAGGGAGTTTCCACGACACCCAATTTCTAGACATCTATAAAGGCTGGTGTAGATCTGATGTTAATGGAGTGCAACCTCACTCTTCCGAACACTATGAAGCACGGCGCAATCCAAAAGAACCACTAGAAGGCAATACATGAATATAAATATAGATATAGATAATGAGCTACGGAGAAGAAGGAGCAGAAGAAGACGAAGAGGAGCTGGATGGCAACAACAACAATAACAACAGTGTGGTGGTGGTGGATGTGTTGGTTGGTGCCATGCCATGGCAACCTGATCGATGAAGAGCGAGGGAACTAGACGGAGATAAATGCTTGCAACTCAACCTTGTTGCAAGGTTTGGCACCGACACTGCCATCCATGAATGTATGTATGTGATAAAGAAGAATTAATATGCGAAGTGGGTCCCTCCCTGCTCTTGTGTGTGGGGATGTGTGCAAAGAAGATATTGTATAAGGAGAAGAGGGAGAGAGGGAGAGGAGGGGGGGTTAGTTCACCACTTGCAGGAGACGAGCAGGCACTTGCCCTTGCCGTAACCGTTGTTAGCATCCTTGAACGCCTTCGCTTGTGCCGCTTTCGTTGGCTCGGATGCATACAACGCTTTTGCAAAACTTCGCTGAATTGCACGCGGAGACATGTAGAAATGCATGTTGGTGCGGGAGTTGAGAATGGCAGATATGGCCTGACGGAGCAGCTCGTCTTCCGTGAGGAGCCCGCCTGCGAGTGTCTTGCTCCCGTATTTCTGCTGCGCGCCTTTGCCGAACACTGTCCCCACGGTTGTTTTCCATGGTTGCATGTCCTTGGGCCAGTAGCATTTGTAGTCCGGGCGAAGCCAATCCCTGGGATGGAGGGGCAAAGTGGTTACTTACTGTAATCCCATGAACCGGAGAATGTTGAAGAAGCCGTGTGGATATCAAATCAGTGAAGGAAGAAGAGCAAAAACAATGCAATGCACCGATGCTTAATTCTAGATTTAGAGCTTTGGAGAGAAGGATTAGGGCACGCACAAGCATGAGCAAGTTGAGGGGCGTCTGTTGGGGAAGGGAATCGTGATGCCGCCTCCACTCGGTGATGGTGGTGGTGATGGGCCCTTCTTCGGCTTGGAGCAGAATTCCATCGGTAGCGCAGGTTTGTAAAATAGAGGATCCACCACATACAGAGCCTTGAAAAGGAATTTGGATTTCAAGGTCACGGTCTTCCCTCCACCTCCGACGATACTGCATTTGCTGTCCGGGCTTCCAGCCAAAGAGACTGAGCACCCCGTCAAGTCCTCCTTCCCTTTGAAACTGACGATGAAATCTCCGAGGAAATTTGTTGATGCATCGGCGTAGTCCACGACATTCCCCGATGCATCCTTGCATTCGACCTTCACTTTCGCTTCTGCAACACAAGGGATTCCCGGTCAGATCTTCCAACACTGCTTCAATTTTACCGAAAGCCTGATTACTTCTAATGTTTGTCTTGTGCTTCTTCAAGCTTGCCGATGGGAGCAAATGGAGACTGATAATTCAATGGCAATGAGGGAATTGGCTGGGCGGTTGTGGCTGCAGGAACCTACTGCTCATCGGATGTGCGTATGGGAAGACTTTGTTCTGAATGCACTGATCACAGAAAACTTTGCCGACAACCACCGCCGACCAGAGTGTCCATTCCTTGCTGCCTCCATAAACCTGGGTCTGCGCAAATGCTTGCTCCTCCGCCGACACAAGTGCGACATGGAACAGTCCATGAAGCGCTACCACCGCAAGGACCGCCACTCCTATCCTCATTTCCATATTGAATTTCCACAGCACCAGTGGGGAGATTGGATAGCCCTTCAACCTGGAGACCAGTGTTGTCACCGCACGGTATCGACACGCGCATGGGGAAACTAAACCAGCTACCCACTTAACCTCTGCACGGAACTCTCAAGGGAAGTGGACCTGTGTGGCTGTCTTGCTACAGCAGAGGAGTAGATCAGTCCTTCAACCCTAAAACCTACAGCATCTCATGGCAAGTTTTCTGTGTGAGCAACCAACCCTTTTGAGCTGCTACTGCTGCTGCCGCCGCCGCTGGACCTTGAAACAGTACTCTCATGGAACTGCAGACATGCAGCGTGAGGTGATATGAGAATGTGATCTGGAGATCGGGTATATGTATGAGCATAGCCATGGCTGCATTTATGAGAATCGTTGCGAGGGTTGGTGGTGACGGTCGGAGGCGCGCCGTAGACTAGCGAAGGATTGACAGAGCGATGCGAACCATCACTTGACTTGCTGGTCAACCGCGTTGACAGGTTACCTACCCTCCCCCCCCCCGATCTCCCTTTCCTCTCATTAATTGCATCCCCAAGGTTCAGACTCATGACCATCTCCTGGAAATGGCAATCTTTTCGAGACACAGAGATGTTGGGCATTGAATGAATGTCAGCGAGCTTACACGCGACATGGCCGGTTGTCTTTCATTGCGCCTCCCAACTACTTGTAACGGTGGAGCTACCTAGAAACTCCGCTTTCGTTTGTGGGGAGCAGTCAGGGGGATGCATCAATACAAACACTGCAACTTGAATTCATTCATGGAGGTGAGGATCAATCAAGCCTTGGACTTGTTGGGACTGCATCGATTAACTCCAAATAAACTGCTCTCCTCAAGGAACACACGGACACATACTCACACTTCAACCAACTGTCGACACTAGGGGAAAAAATTGTGCCGTAAAAGCAGCAACTTTCACGCCCAGCTCAATCGCCTTCATTCAGCACTATTTTGAACTGTCGATTTCATCAACTGTCTGCAACTCTCTGCAACTGTCAAACTGGATCTCTGACATTCAATGCAACTACACAGTCTCAACGTGGTGAGTTTTTGTTGGTTAGCTTCGGTAGAACACACAGTGAGATGATGTTCCTACCTTGACTATAGTAACCATGTGTCAGTCCGGACTTGCATGAAGTCACAGATGCCTGGATATGTGTGGCGATGAGCTTTGAGTAGGGCGAAAATCTGGGTTGCACGACTCTGACGTTGCAGTGAGTGAGTGAGTGAGTGAGTGAGTGTGTGAAAGTGTGTGTGCGGGTGGGTTCATTATCATCTCCCCCTCCATATCTCTCACCTTGACTTGCAAGGCTTCACTCCTTTTCCGTCTCAGAAGTACAACAACCTGGTGTGTAAATGAGAGTTGATGTGTCACTTTTTTTTGTGTTAATTATGTTGCAGTTGCGGTGGAGTATGTGTTTGTTGATTTCAGAAAGGAAGAAAACCGAAAAAACAAAATAGATATATTGTTCGAGCGTCTGATGTAACCATCGTACCATTTCTACCATATTTTTATTTTTATTTTTATTTTTTTTTGAAACAAAAGAAGAAAGCCTTCATTGCCTTATGGAACCGTTTTATACAACCAACCCCAGCCGCGGACGGCCTGGGTGGGACCGACTGATACAAACGACACGCTCTTCAGACCTCTAACGGCCCTACCTCTCGCGAAGGTCTTAAGACCCACATAAGTGACAGGCCTAACCTGGGAAGACAACGTCCCAGTGGCCTTCTCTACCTACGGAGGTTGGAGAACGAACCCCGCAACAGGACCGGCAAGAAGCCACTGTGGAGATCCATTTACCATAACCGAGAACAGACTGTGGCAACACCACCTCTTTTCAAAATGGCTCGCTAATTTGTTACCTTTTGCTAGTTGCGGCTTCTGCGTTCTACATACGGCTGCCCACCCCATCCGGTCATAGTCCACAATACCAAGCCAAATGCACTGGATTAGCTTACTAGGGTGCCAAAAAATATCGTTTAACACTCCGTCATTGCGCTCCATCCAGAGCAGACTGAAGGGATCTTATTTTCGCGGAATCCGCACCGAGAAAAGGCCTTGGTGCCACGACTATGGTTGCGAAGGGCCTCTCGCGTTCGCCCCGTGAATCAACGAATTGAGGATGTGTAGTCCCCATTGCCATGCGATCTGGCCCGATCCGCACTCCAAGAATCGGTGAAGGATTGGCTCATCCGCTCGCCTAGTAGAGATCCGGCAGCTCGAAGAAACGTTTCGATCAATCCACTCTCTCCAGGCGTTTACTGTGACAGCCCGGCCGTTAGAGCCACAAGAGGCCGGCTTCCTTGCTGATGCGGTGTTTGATCCACGCTGTGTTCCATCTCAAACAAAAATCACCATGCAAGATCCCTTGCCACTTTGTTCGCACAGGGCCAGGTATGATGTGTTTTGCTCGCAGGCGCTCGCGTCCTAACTTGGCTGTGTAGCCAAAGAAGGGAACTGGCCCTTTCGGCGAGGGCCAGCAGAGTTTGTGCGGATCCCAACACAACTCCGCAACTGGCCCGTAGAAAAAGAAGACGGGTTGTTGCTGAGGGCCCTTAAGAATCTTCACTACCCTAACCCGACAGTAGACTCCTTCGAGTGAAAGGTGACCTTCGTGGGCCTGAGGTACAAGGCAGCGTGACCGGGGTAATACCATGAAACTGGGTGTAGTGGGAGGGAGACGTGTTGTGTATGGGTTACTACCATAGGAGTGTTTCCCACTCTCGGAGGCCTGTCAAACCGCAAGCGGAAGAGGGGCGTTGCTGGTAAGGTAGCAGCCGATCCACTCACCTTTCACAGCATGTGGAAACTCATTGGTTAACAGGCTGCTTCAGTGGCTCTCGAGGCGGCTTATCACAACATCCCATGCGGAACTTTCCTCAGATTCAAGGCCGAACGCGATGGTTGCTTCTTGTGCCGTGAGAGAGCGGTTGCTTCTTCTAGCATCTCGAATGTGCTGAAGCCCCGCCTTATGCAGCTGGGAGGCGCGGGCCTAAGAAAATTCAGTCCCAGGAGAGAAGGAGACCACCAAAATGACTCACAAGCAACTTCTTCCGCCACACAAGGAGTAGCATATTTGACTTAGCCAAAGTATGCTAAGAAGAGCATGCTCTTGTCCAAGCTTTAGATCCATGTTTGCTGGGAAGTGAGGTAGGAAAAAGTATTCTAGGCTTGGAGACCAACTGCATTGTATATAATATATATCTTGTGTATAATCTATATCTTAGTAAGACATGGAGATTGGATATTCTAGATTCACATGCTTTGAGAATCCATTTTACCATCAAGGAGGGTGGAGCATTCACAAGGTTAACCATGTGAATACCTCCATTTGTTCTTGGTTGGCAATATTGAAGCCATGAGACTTTGATTCAAGTTCTTTGGAGGTTTCTAGACAACATATAATTTTGGACTTGGGTTTGTGCTTTGGTCATTTTTAATTTTGTGCCTTCTTAGATTGTAGCAAAAAATAAAATAAAAGAGAATATATCTTATTAACTACCAGTGCTCTACTTATACAAATAATTTTTGTTGTACTCTAATACTTTAATTTTTTTTTTTATCTATCTTAGATTTCAAAAATTCATCTACATCAAGGGAAGACATATTCATCCCAAATGGAATACCTAATAATTTGCTAATGCTCCTATCATCAATTTAAGTCACTTCTAGAGAGCTTGTCCAACTAGGTATCACGGACATACATACTTACTATGATATTTACTTATATGATTAAGTAGAAATAAGTAAAAGTAGATTTATTTCATAATATTTTTTAGAATAGCTTTCTAGAAGCTTCATAGATGCTACTTTGACTTTATATGTATTTATAGTTGATTGGTAGGATAGAAACTTGATCAATAAGTTAATCATGTGTTGAAAGCTTATGGAGTAAGCTAATTATGTAGTGTATATATAGAAAATTTGATTTGCAAGTGAAGATACATATCTTGCAAAGTCAATATGTTTTGGAGGTCTTATAGGATATCGCTACATAGCTCCTAGTTAAGAGTATATATGAAGGCAAGAATGAAGTCTTCTTCACTCTTATCAATAACTTTCTAGTCTTCTTATCTTTGATAATAGCCATTCTATTTTAATACTATATCATCTTTGAGTGACTTTCTAGTTCTTTTGAGTGACACAAGAGTGTATTGAGGATTTCTTTCTTTGAATCTCATGTCTATAATGCTAGGCCTTATGGATTTTGCTTTCGAATATCTACTAGATTTATTCCAATTCAACACCAATCCTGAACTACATCAATTTTTTTTCAAAACATTAAAGAATACTTTTACCAGACCATCTTTTTTTTTAAGAATAAAAAAAGTGTCATGTACAAATTGGGCAATAACATATTGTTTGTTTTCAATGAAAAGGACAATGCCATGGATCCTCCTTTCTTCCACTTCTTTTTTAATCATACTATTAAATACCTTAGCCATTATAATAAATAAGTAAGGGGTTAAAAGACAACCTTAACAAATTCTTCTATTAATATCAAAAAGAGAGGATCGAGATCCATTTACCATAATATTAGATAATGCATTTGTAAAAAGAAGTCTTGTCATGTCTACAAAGTTCTCTAAAAAGCTAAATTTAAACATAGCTTGGAAGACAAAGAACCAATCCACTATGTAGTAGGTCTTCAAAAAGTCCAACTTCAAAAAAATAAGAGGTTGCTTTGAATAATGAGTCCACTCTACAGTCTCATGTATAAGTAAAATATTATCAAAGATGAATTACTTTAGAAGAAAAGCCAATTGATAGATGGATATAATTTCCATAAGCACTAGTTATAGCCATACTTGTAGTGTCGTTGAATAAAACTTATAGGTTACATTGAGGAGGGTAATTGTCATGGATATACATACGTATTTTAATAAATATCTATATGATTAGGTAAATTAGATAAAAGAATATTAAAGTAGATTAATTTCATAATATCTTTTAGAAAAGCTTTTTAGAAGCTTCATAGATGTTGCTTTGATTTTATATGTGTTTGTAGTTGATTGATAGTTTTGAAACTTGATCAACAAGTTAACTATGTGTTAATAGCTTGCGGAACAAGCTAACTATATGGCACACATATAAAAAACTTACCTTACAAGCTAAGATACATATCTTGCAAAATCAACACATTTTAGAGGTCGTATAGGACATTGCCTGTCACGGACATACATATAATTACCTATATGAATAGATAAAAGTATGTAAAAGTAGGTTAATTGTGTAATATCTTCTAGAGAAGCTTCTTAGAAGCTTCATAGATGCTGCTTTGACTTTATAGGAGTCTATAGTTGACTTTTAGGTTAGAAACTTGGTCAACAAGTTAGCCATGTGCCACGCATGTTAGAAGCTTAAAGAACAAGCTA